AGCACCGCCCGCATCCCCGGGACCGCCCCGCCGCAAGGGTTCCCGGGTGGGGGCGGGATCGCCCGGGCGGACTCGGCCCCCGGGACCCGTTTGCCGTCTCAGGCTGCGCCGTGCGCTGCCAGTCCCGCAGGAACGGCAGGGCACCGGCAGGACACCGGGAAGCGGCTTCTGTTTGGGCACCGGGAATGTCCCGAGACTGCCCACGCGGTGCGGCCCTGCAGACACCCCCACCCCTCCAAACCTGCATCCCTCCATGCCCCCATCCTTCTATCCTCTATTCCCCCATTACCCATCCCTCCATCCGTCACTTCCACCGTGTGCCCAGTGCTCCCTGAGCCATGGTGTAGGGCAGGCAGAAGTGCTGGGGGACACGGGAGGATGCAGCCCCCAGCCCTCTGGCTGTCTTGTGGCCCCTCACTTTGCTAGGTGCACCCGTCCTGGACATCCTGCTGGAGGGAGCGCTGGGACAAGGCCGTGTGTGCCCGCTCAGCCGCGGCTCCATGGGCATCCATGAGTCTCTGCAGGCCCACGGCTCTACATGTGGAACAGTGATGGCCACCAGAGCACTGGGGGACATGGCACAGCAGTGAGACCCCCCCTGCCTTCCGCCCCATTGGGCTGAACTGCCAGGAGGCTGGTGATGGTGCATAGGGAAAACCCAGCTCATGACCATGGGGCTGAGCTGGGATGGCCTGGGCTGTGCAGGGAAGGGGACACACCTCTGCAGCACTCAGGACCTCTCTTGGCACTTGCAGAGGGGTCAGGAACATGTGAGTGCCCTCTGTCCCCTGGAGGGCCACATGCTGCCCCTGCCTTCCTGGTGCATATGCTATGCTGCTGCTGCCCCGACTGCCACGTGCCACCACACAGACCTGGCACCCCCTGCCCTCCCTCCTATCCAAGAGCCCCCACGGCTGCCCGCAGGCCCGCGCCCTGCCTGTGCCCTGCACTTGGGGCCTCAGCGCCGCTGCAGCCCGTGCTGTCAGCCCTGCAGATGAGTGAGCCATAAACAGTCCTTCATGGAGACGTTTTTCACACACGGGGCCACATGTTAACAGTTTTTCTTTATTTACTGCCTCCATTTCCTCTTTGTTCCAGGAACTTGTCCTCCAACTTCAAGCTGCTCATGATTAGGCAAAAAGGCCTCTAATCTCCCCGATCTGATTTACCGTCACTGAGAGCAGACGCTTCCCGTTACTGGCCCTGGACTTGGGAGCACGGACAGCCGAGCTCTGCTCTGCTGAGCCTCTCCTCCCCAAAGCTGCCCCGCTGCATGCACTGCCTTCCCAGCAGCTTCCTCTTCCAGTAAGCTCTGGGCAGCCTGGCCAGCCATGTCACAGGTGTAGGGCTGGGGAGGAAGCACAGGTGTGGGGCCCTGGGCGGGGCACCCCACCATGTTTGGGGTAGCTGCTCTGGGGCAGGGTAGGCTTCAGAGCTGTTTCCTCTGCTTCCTTGGGAAGGGCTGGCTGGCTGGAGCATCCCTTGGCCATGGCTTCCCCAGGCACTTACCCACTGGGGTAGCCAGGTGGCTCCAGGGTGCCCTGCAGTGCCCAGCATGGGGACATCACCTGTCCTGGCAGTGCCTCTAAGTCTCAGCCCTGGCAAGTGCTGGTTCTGCGGACCTGTGGGGTTGGCTCAAGGCTCTGTGCTGCACAACCCCCTACCAGCTAGGCAGGGCCTTGGGTCTGTGGTTACATGGGGAGCTCTATCATGGGGAGGTGGCTACATCCTTCACAGGACCTTGCAGTGTGGCAGAGCTTCTGCCATGGAGCCCCATGTCCAGCTCATGTCTGGGCTTGGACCCAGATCCAGTCCACTGCTGGCACCTGGCCAGCCCCCCTGACCACACAGAGCCTGGAGGGGGCTCGGTGGGGCCAGCACCGAAGCCCGTGGGAGGGCTTGTGGCCACGTGGGGCTGGCTGAGACACGGCCACAGGCATGTGGGCAGTGCTGGTGCCTGGCAGGCAGCTTGGTGGGGCTTGGCCAGCAGCTGGGGGGGCTCGCCCGGGGCTGGGCTGTGCCAGGCCCCTGCAGCCACCACTTGCCTGCAGCTCCTGGCCCCCCTAAAGATGCCACCGCCGTGGGCTGAGCTCATGCTCCGGCGG